GGATTACAAGGTTCTACATATAAGCTCCTGGTTGCTTGGTTTTGACAGAACACAGAAAAGTGGGTGAAGGGAGACGTCGGACAGGACAAGATATGACAAAATAATAATTTATAAATTATCAAGGGTTCATGAGGGAGGAGGGAGGAGGGAGCAGGGAGGGAGGGGCAAAATGAGGAGCTTGATGCCAGTGGGTAGGGCAAATGTTTTGAGAATGATGAGGGCAATGAATGTACAAATATGCTTTACTCAATTGATGTATGTATGATTGTGATACGAGTTGTATGAGCCCTAATTAAAAAAAAAGACTGAAATGTGTGTGGGGAAAGGGAAATTGGTCATCTCAGTCCTGGGATTTGTTAATCTGCTCTAAATATGCACAGGTGGGGCTGCAAAGAGTTCGTGTAAGTGGATTAAAAGACCACATAATTTCCCCCACAAACTTTTAGAAGCTCCCTTGAATAGATTTTAAGCGTACATTTTAAAAAACATACCCAAGACCTGGGGGCAAGTAAAAAGGCTTCAGAACTGAGTTATAGTTGACAGGAAAATGAGTCTTGGCATTGACCATCCCTAGGGGCCAGGTGACCCCTCCAGTAAGCCCCTGGGCCATACAGGAGGGATCTGGTAGGGGACTTGAACCTGGATGGAAGTGGGGCGGGAAGACAACTGTCCCTGGGCCTGTGCGCCGAGGAAAGGCTTATCTATTTTGCCACTGGGTTTTCAAGTTTGGAGGGAGGCGGGTACTAATGGCAAGAGGAGGTCACCAAGAGATAGGAAGGGGGTTCACAGCATCCCTGGATGCAGTCATAGGATCTGGGGGGATGGGGGTGGCACTGCAGGGGGCAGGAAGTCTGTGGGTGGGGGGACAAGCGGATGAAAGGGATACTGCTCAGGACAGAGGATCTGTGGTGGGGGGTGGGGTGGGGAGGGGCACTGCAGGAGACAAGGGGACCTGGGGGGACACTGAAAGGGATAGAGCCGGGGGAGGGGGGTGCACTTCTGGGGACAGGGGATCTGGGCGGACACTGAAGGGGCGGACCGCCGTAGGGAAGGACCTGTGGGGCGGGGGAACCCCGGAGCTAGAGAGGGGTCTGTTGGGGCGACTCTGGATAGGATTGTCGCTGATGGTGTGGGGAACCCCAAGCCCGGAGCATCGCGGGAAGAAAGGGCTTCGGGCGCCTCCCACGGAGTAGGCCCCGCAACCCCGCCGACCCGGTCCCGGTCTGGCCTACACTCACCTCAGTGCCGCAGAGCGGCCGCCGGCGCAAGCCCCGCCTGCTCCGCCAATCGGAGTCGAGCCGGAAGTGATGCGCCATCACGGCCCCGCCTCCCGGCCCGCCCGCCCTCCCCTCCTCGGCCGTGTCCTGGGTCAGGTTCTCCGGACAGCGTTTTAAGTCGCAACACTGCCACTTGGTGGCAGTATGAAAGGAGACTCAGGCCAAAGGCTTTCATGATCCCTTGAAATTTAACGAGTCATTCTTTTCCTCGAAAATCTCTCCCGTATGAGCGGCCGATGTCACCTCAAACCCTGGAGAAGCGCTCCCTTTCCAGCAAGCTCTGTGCTCACCCAGGATGTTGGCTAAGAGCATGCTGACTGCTCAGAGAAGCCCATTTTAGCATTTCGCCCACTGTCCCCACCCTGGAAAAGGGTCGTGCCCACTCCAACTAGTGAAGTCTCAAAGGGGATGCTGTCACCCCGTCCATTCCAGGCTGTCTTGCCTCCAGAGAGGCACAGGGCCAGGGGGCCAGAACAGTGCCTACCCAGACCAGGGAGGGGCAGGGCTAGTCTGAGGGTGCTGCCCTGATGCACCAGGCAGGGCGGGCTGGGGACAGAACCAGATGGGCAGCTGCAACCATCAGCATGTCCTTTCCTCCATCTTGTTAGAACTGTCCCATCTGGAGAAGTCTGTCAATCCTCTTGGATTTGGTGGGTAGTGAGCGGTCAGAAGTGCACGTGGAATCACCACACTGCGGTGTTTGCCATAATGGGCCCACTGCCCACCTAGCAGTAGGCACTAGGACCTCCCCTGACAACCTGCCTTCCCCTCCACAAGTGGCAGATGAGCTCTGGGATAAGGACTGGTGTGAACCTGGGTCCCAGGCTCATCCTGGTAGAGCCTGAACAGCAGGCTGGGCATGGTTGCTGGTAACAAGCTGGGAGGCTCAGGACTCAAAAGCTGCATGCAGGTGCTAGAGTCCAAGAAACCAGTGTTGTGTGCAGGTGTTGGAGCTCACAGAATCAGGGATGCCTCCCGCCAGCCGTGAGTCCTCAAGGTAATACTCCTGGAAGGACTAAAAGGGAATTCCTGGGCTGCATGTGGATGGGGGACTGGACGTGAGCCGTTGCTGGAGGGGTGGCCTAGGAAGCCTACCTACAGGTGTATACACCTGGTTGTGGGGCACAGCCTTTTGCCTACTGGGTCAGAGAAACAGGAGTGGATGCAAAAAGTGGCCTGACCCAAAGGATAAGGTACCCAGGGCACCAGACCTTCAGCCCCGGCAATCACCTTGTGCCCTGCCACAGCTAGTGAGGGGACAGCCCCACCTGTTTAGGAACAGTTGCAGTTTTATAACCTACAGGGAAATAAGCAGGATGGCAAAGCAAAGACAGGCCTTGTCACTCAGGGCTGTAACTTCTCCAGAGCCCAGAAAGCACCATTTACACCCAACAGACTCCCAGCACTCAGCCAGTATAGTGGTTCTCAACCTTCCTAATGCCATGACCCTTTAATAGTTCATGTTGTGGTACCCCCCCAACCATAAAATTATTTTCGTTGCTACTTGATAACTGTAATTTTGCTACTGTTATTAATCAGATGACCCCTGTGAAACGGTAGTTCGGCCCCCCAAAGGGGTTGTGACCCATAAGATGAGAACTGCTGCAGTAATGAGTCCTGAACACTGCCTGTTCCCACCTGCAAGCCAGCCGCAAACTCCAACAGGCTGCTTGTAGAGACCGTGTCCAGTGATAGGAAAGGTTCTGACTAGCATGAGTTTAGGGACAGGGCAGCACACACCACGTGAGCACACACTTGCAAAATTCTCCTGACCTAAACACCAGAACAGGATAAACCCATTGGCAAATATGCCCACCCACGTCTGCAGGCACAGCACACATCGCACGCAATCGACTGCCCATCATCCAAAGCACCCACCACTCGCTGGGCCTGCTACAAGGTGATGCTATGCCCCAACCCCAAACGAGGCGTGGGGATGGGGACTGGTTGAGACCATTCTGAGGTGACAGGAGAAAAGAATTTATTGAGTCCTCAGCCCTAGTTCTCCTTCTCCTGCACAGTCTTGGTTCCCCGGAGCCGCCCAGTCCGGCGAGCAGCAATGAGACCCACTTTGCGACCAGCAGGGGCATCCCTGCGGATAGTTGAGGGCTTGCCAATGTGCTGGTGGTTACCACCTCCAAAGGGATGCTCCACGGGCTGCAGGAAAAGGACAGCAGTTAGTGGCTGTGAGCCATGTGCCCACCCTAACCGGGGCACACCACCAGGCTGCCCAGTCACCATTTTGGTCCCTGCACCCAAAATCCACACCATTTCTCTGCTACTCACGTTCATGGCCACACCCCGCACGCGAGGCCAGCAGTTCCTCTTGGCCTTATACTTGTGATAGGCACGACCAGCCTTCAGGATGGGCTTGTCTATGCGGCCACCACC